CACAAGAACATCCTCCATTAGAATGACCACTGCCTTTTAGTTTGGCCTATCTTTCCTAATTATCTCTATACAAACTACAGAACAAAAACAACATTTTGTAAAAGGTAAATAAACATGAGATGAAGAAAAAAAAAAACTTTGTAGAGTATTGACTCTTAAAAAGTGCTCCAACGTAGAGAATTTTTGCATTTTTTGTAAGAACAAATTAAAAGACATAGCTCATTATATAATTAGATTGTCCACACATAAAGAAACATGAGATAAATTCCTCCTAGTGTTGAGGAAATGATGTTTACCCATCTGAAATAATTTGGGAAGCCCCCCGTGATATGTCAATGGGAACTTTTGCTGGGTCTCTTACGACTAAAGTTAGTGTCTAACTTTGCCTTCTCACAGCTGACTATTATTTTTCAAATACTTAACTTTTAGGATGTCCTTTTAGGATACCTATCATTTATTTCATAACACTTTGGTATTCTCCGAATGATACTATTATGTGTCAGTTAGTGTAACCTTAATTCTAGAAGCTGTCCAGGAATGCACACAACACGGTGGTCAGCGGGCACTATATTCAAAACGGCCATATTCCAGAGGTAGCAACGCCCAAGTCCTTTTGATCTAGGTAGATCTGTCCACACTCAACACTTTACTCATCAAACTGAATATAAAAGGTTGATCTTTACTGATGAACTAGTGTCTGGTTAATTACTATAGTGGGTGTAGTAATGGGCTCCCTTTGAGGAAAATAAAGGCTTAAGGATATGTGGATCAGCTAATATAGTTAAACACTTCTTACTCCTGATGTGACTATATGAACGATTTCATTGAAGCCTATATCCAGCGTGTCTTAGAGATGGGGCCCACAATTTTATTACCAGTCATTCTGTGTCCAGACATGAGAGTAGGAGGATTTCTGATTGCATCATGGCGACTGAAGGGCCCAGAAGACTGCTTCTAAAGTGTTGCTATGTCTACCTCAAGTGAATGTTGCACACAACATGTGGTCAAAGTATCTAAAATGACAAAGATCTAGGATTTTCACTGAGCTTTTAAAACAGGTTTGTTTCTGATATGCTAATAAGTGTTTATCTAAAAAATATCTAACTGTGCGATAGAATCTGGACTTGACTTGCCTTCATTATAACCTGGTAGTGAGGTTGTGGGAGAGAAGCTTTCTCCTAGCATTTCAAACTTATTGGGTGGCTACTACTGTCTAACCAAAAAAAAAAAAAAAGAGTTTTGCCAAATTTGGCTTTCATCAGTTAAAAAGCATATTATGAAGTCTTTATATGATAAATCATTTCAAAGTCTTTTAGAGAGAAGCAGATATATATTTTGTGATTAAGAAAACCATATTCTGAATATGTTTCCGAAATAATCTTTGTTTTCTGCAAAACAGTAGGACCAAAAAGAGTCTACACAGTTTAAAAAAAAAATTGCATACTTCTTCACAAACAACATTTCAGTGATATAAGAACATCTTGGTTAAATTATACAAACATATCAAAGGGCAATGACCCTTTATGAGAACGTTTGAAATATAATGACATAGGTTATCAGTAAATTTTATAAATGTATCTTAAGAGATACAAGAAATTGCATTTGATTTCTTACTTTGCTTCTAGCAACTGAATCTATAGCTTAAAGATTTGAATACCTCATACTTCAAACAATGAATTTCAGCTTGTTTCTATCCTAACTCAAAAGAAATATTCAGTAGTGAGACAACTGAGTTAATTATATTTCAACAAGCAGTTCAGAGAAAGACCCGAATATGACACTTCAAAACTATTCTGGACATCAGCGCCAAATACCTGTTTTCACACAAACTAGCCATGACAACTCTTAGAGGCAGTACCAAATAACTTGTTCATCAAGAAGCTCTCCCACATGTTTCCATTTTTCCAAATGTGGAATACTAAAGCATCAATCAAAACTTACCAGGGAAGTCAAAGACAGGAATCTGATCAATTATAAAATGCCCACAGCAGCAATGAGGTCCTACACACTACCTAAATAAAATACTGTACCGGTGAACAATATTTTACCTTTTTAAAATACTTTCCTGGAGGTTATACAGATCATAAGTTTATACAGATAATACATTTTGTATTTTTTCTTTTTTTTAAAAAAATCACTAATCCCAAATATAGTCAGAATGGTGTAGCTTTCACATACTGCTATTTCACATATAAAATGAAGTAGGGTCAATTTAATTCAATTCAGCACATCATGATAAAATATATGATTATTTTCCCCAGAAAATTGATATTGTTAAGAATGACTAAAAATAAAATCCCAGTGTTCATATTTTCCCCTTCTAGTCACAACGATATAGCGAATTGTCCTAGGCTTGCAGAATCATCTACTCAGAGCCAATAAAGCAAAATTAACATAGCATAAGAGAAACCAATAATTTCTCATCATTACTACCACCTACCAAAAGCTCCTCCCCCACAAGCATCAGTAATTGTAGCAGCACAGATTAGCACAGGCTATCTGGAACAGAACTACTATGGTCCCAAAACCACATGGAATCTACTCTATAGATAGTTACCTGGGGAAACTTTTTTTTTTCCTAAGCCCAAACCAGTCATTCTTTTTAATCAGAAATGAAAAGTAAAACTAGACTTGTCTTATCTTGCCTTTGATGTTCCTAATATTTGCAAATATCAAAAAGACATCTCCATGAAAAAACAAGGACATTAAAAAGTTGGGAAAGGCAAAATGGCCAAGAATGTAATATCTTAAGACTAGTTTCTGAATATTATTACCATGTAGACCTATATAATATGGTGGTCACTGGCTGCACGTAGCTGCTGAGCACTTAAAATGTAACTAGTCTGAACTGAGATGTATTGGAAGTATAAAATAAACATCAATTCTGAAGACTTAATAAAAATATTATAAAATATTGTATTAGCATTTAAAAATATTAATTTTATGTTGAAATGGTCATCTCTTGGATATACTGTGTTACATATATTATTAAAATTCATTTCACCTGTCTTTTTTTACTTTTTAATGTGGCTAATAAAATAATGGCATATGTAACTTACCTTTGTGGCTTACATTATATTTCTATTGGACAGGAATGATTTAGACAATAATCACTGTAATATGTAATAAACCTTGTGAAAAATTCTACCATTTGACCATTTGGCTTAGAACTTGTAAAAACTTTGCCATAAGGCATGAAACAGCCTTAAAAGCACATTTCCTACTGAAGATCAGGTAGTTTTCCATATCGTAATGAGTGTTTGGAGGGTAAACAAAGACAGGAAAGGGGGCTTTGGTGAAAAAAACAGAAACAAAAAAAACAAAAAACTTAAACTATGTGCTTTAGCTAACTCTAGCTTGATTTTTTTCTGATTCCCAGACCCAATAAATAATTTCTACTCCAGAGGGAAAGCTCTCCTCTTCTGCATGGAGTTTCAAGGACAAACAGTTTAAGAATTGTGACTAGGTATTAAGAAGTAAATGAGCCTTTCTATGGGATCTGAAGCCCTGCCCAGGTAAAAGCCAAAACGGTAAGGGTGAGATAAGTAATTTAGTAATTCCTGAGGGTTTACAGTCCCATCTTCTCCCCAGCTCTACTTAACTTCCCCTCACTTCCCTTTTCCTTCCCAGCTTGTGCCAATGTTTATCCCCACTTTCCCCGCTGTTGGTTATTTGTACATTTCTTTCTCCTCTCCTAATTCCAGCTGGCATCTTCCTCAACCTTTGTTCTTTCTCCTTACTTCCTGTTTTCCCTTTCCCCATTTATATATACTTTTAAATTTATGTTACATAGTCATAAATAGGAAAAAACAGAACATTCAAATACATGAAAGTTCTTTTTACTTCCACAGGGCTCTTTACTGGGTTGTTAATTGTTTTTGTTTGGTCCTTCAGGGTTAGTGACCTCCCCCTTGGGCTCTCCCCCTGTCCAAGACCAATATGGTTCAAGAAGAAAGCTTCATTAGAATCACCTAAGCAGATTCCTAGGCCCTAACTACCCAGACCCAAAATCAGATTCCTTGGGTGGTAATCAGCAGTCTTAGGAGCATGGGTTAGCAAAATTAGACTATCCATATCTTTGACGTTGATATATGTCCTACAAATATCTAATCTATCAAAAGAACCTACTGAAAAGTACGTTAATTTTTTTTAAATGACATCTTCTGGGGGAAAAAGGTTCAATTATTGGTTTTAGTATTTGACAATAAAAAAGTTGAGAAAACAACAGGCTGGGATTAATCAACAAAAGTTATCAAAGCAATGTTTACCAGAATTACTCTGAGATTGGGGTAAGTTAATTTAAGATTGCTAGTATGGGTTTCTTACAATGCATTCAGAGTAGTTTAGTAAAGAAAGCTGACAGTCATTGCTGGAAAAAACATGGTCATCCAACTGAACCCAATTTGTATGAATAGGACCTATGCTTCTACATTCTGCTCAAAGTGACTGTGCAGTTCAAGACCTGCAATGCTGGTTCAGTATCGAAATGTTTTTGGTGAAGTAAAAGTTTTTGAAAAGCATAAAATCTATCGCTGCTTTTACCTAGTACTCTCTTCAGTTATTGCCAACAGACAACTTTGGGGTAGATTTTCATGATCTATGTTATACTTGTAAGCAATTTATAGTTGACTATTAGGAATCAGTGTTAATAAAGTAGACCAAAACACAGGCAATTCTATTTACAATTAGGATAATGAATCAAAATTTGTTCTTTTGATGTTCCAAGGCTTTGAACTCACAGAGCTTTGATATAATGTTTAATAAACATATCTTTACTATTATAAATAGCCCCTCAAACCCCAGGAAGTTAAGCCAAAGGAATGTATTTCTGGTCTAGACTAGGCAATACTTTTATTTAGAAACTAATGAAATAATTTTATTTTAAAAAATAATTTTTGTCAGAAGTTCTCCATTTTATCTAGAATGTTTAGATTATCAATAATCAGCTCTATGTCAAAACATAAACACACAAATAGAATCAGAATAATTACCAGTCATACCTTATTATGTGTCTGAGTCTGTCCAACCAGTATGAGGATGTTGGATGAGATGATAGACAGGCAGAAGTTAATTAGAATTATAGACCTCTCAGAGCGTATGTACCTAGCCAGGGAGAGAGAGAGAGTGTCCAATTTTAAAATTCAGCAGAAAGATGAAGAAGAATTCCATATCATGCAAATTGGTGAAATTCATCCAGAAAAGGAAACACTAAAATATATCCTTTATAGAAGAAAATGTAGGAAAAATGTTTTTTTAAATAAAGATTATTCTTAGAGACCCAATTTTATAGTGACATGGCATGTCCTAGAGTCCTTTAGAGTAATTTTATTTTCTTTAGACGTTTGTATGGATAACATGGCATTTCTGACAGACTTGAAGTTGTATCTGCTATCAAAATAATTTTTTTTACTAAAAATATAAAATTTCTTGGAAATATATCAATTACTATAATTACCATTACATATATGTATATATATTATCATATAAAATCAATAGAAACCAAAAGGAAAAACCCCATACAGATTCTCAAGTATCCCCTTGTATACTTAGAAAGCAACCATTACTTTCATGAAACCATGAACACTTATCCACCATTTCATACACTCAAATATTTTTATATAGTTTGTTACTCTTTATATTTTTCTTTTCCTTAACTGCTCCAAAAAAAAAAAAAGAAAAAGAAAAAGACAAGAAAATGAATCTTCATCTCCAGAAAGTAGTCCAATCCACAAATGATAATTTGCCATTAGGCTGGAAAATTACTTGGTGTCTGCCATATTTTACCCTTATGAAGAAGTGTTTATATACAGTCTGCTACAGAACTTTTAAGTGCATCAAGGATATAAGCCATAGAGGAAACTGCTCAGAATCAAATGTTCTACCAGCTGTTTACCCTAAAAGGGTAACGGTTATTTTGCTTTACTGTACCCAGTGGTAAATCACTGAGTGACAGTAACAAAAAAGACATACTTGTACTTGCTGTGTATTTGAGGCTGTTCAATTTGTATTAGTACATGGAATCATTTTCCACAGCAGGCACGGGTTTACTGTGCAGGGCTAAGTAGGGTGCCAGAGATCTGGAGGCACTCTTTGGAAAATAAAATCTAATCAAAGTTCTTTCTCTATCTCAGTGTTTGAGGAATATTTAGGCAGAAGCCCCACATTCCATCACACATTTCAAAAGAGAACACAAAACAAAAACAGGAGTAATAATAAAATACAAAAAGCAATTTTTTAGTATAAAAAAATTTCCTTTCTTCACAAAACAAACCCAAATAGGAATAACCTAGGTCAATTCTCAATACAAAATGCCCTCAAGAGTTGCTTAACCTTGTCCCTGCATCATCAGTATCTAAAAATATAATAAACCACACACTGGGAAGCTAAAGACATCATCAAATATTAAGTTGTTTCTTCTTATGTGAGTGAGAGATGGAACATAAAAAGTTTAAGGGCTGCACAAAACTGACCCTTCATATGATGTTAATGGCTTCATGACAGCACAGGCACACAGACAACATTATTAAAAGGGTTTCTGTGATATCATTTGCTCTGTAAGTAGGAAAATCATAGTGATAAAAAACCCAGACTGACCACCCTGAAGAGTTTTTAGATATTCCTATTATTCATCAATACTGAGTCACATTATTGCCTTAAAATTTTCTATAAAACGTCTCAACTCCCAAAACTTTTTATATTTGAGGTTTTAAACAAAATTTGTGAATGCATCATTTCAATATATAGATTAAAAAGATATGTTTAGTTGCTCTTTGATGTAATAACTCTACAGAACATATTTGTAGATGAAGAGAACATACCTTAGTATATTAATATTTTGATGAACATTTCTAATGAACTATAAGGGACACCAACAATTTTCAAAACACTACGTTATATATAAAATAATTCTGATGTTCATACATTTTATAAACCATTAAAAAATTTTAAACTTAAACATTTTAATTAGAAAAAAAGGCAGCATAGGATCCTAACATGAGTATTACCATGCAGTAATACCATACAGTACTATTATAAGGTAAATTTAATGTTTATAACATTCATTAAATTTGTCATGCTACAGGATTCACTTAATAATTTAGGAATCTTGGAACTTCCATAAAATTATTAATACTACTTCAATTCTTCCATTTGTAGACAATGAATTGATTAGCCACTAAAGTTAGGAATCAAAATTTATGTTGTTTCTTGGTGCTCTCTTATACACTTCTCAGTTTCACATCAAGTACTAATAGATCCTTCCAGGTGTTTGGGTAATTCTTAGAAAACTAATAGGTGATTTCCCTGGATCTTCTGGATTAAAGAAAACTTTATTATGGACAAATTAATCTTGTGCTTCTTTATATATTATTTATACTGGCAATGTTTATGCTAATGTTAGCTACAGGTATTGAGAGGTGAAAAGAAGGTGGAATTGGTGCCTGAACCCTAAGTACTGAGAAATGGAACTTAGTTCTAATTACTTCAGTGAGTATGAAGTATGACACTGTTGAGATCGCCTGAAGTCCTGGCCCTTCAACACTGCCTCATTTTCCAAAAAGTGCCATTTAGGCAATTATGGGAGACAAAGTGGTCTTCTTCCCAGCCTTTGTCCATCTTGCTCTTCTATTCCCAGGGCAATGTCTGCTAGACTAAATCCTGAAGCTTGGATTCTATTGTCTATAATGCCATGCCTAGACCAAACATTTCTTTCATTCCATGGGATTGGCCATATTTTATCAGATTTTCTCACTCTGTCAGTGTTTTACTACTAGGTAACTCCTTCCCAGGAAGGCAGAACCTTTATTATGTACCTGTGTCAATGGAACAAGAATGTGTACATATTTTTGTTTGAAGTATGAAAATTCTAATATCGTTGACAATTTAATATCCTGGACAATTAATTCTTATCCTCAAAAGAGTGAAAAATACAATGGACAACATTTTTTTGGAAAGGATGTTAAATCAAATGACCTTTCTTTATTAAATTATAATTAGTACTTCAACTGAATTGTTTTTTAACGTAAGTAACAGTAAAACACAAGGACTAGCTACTTTTGCAATTTTAATATTGCAAATATTTAGGAAATAATGTACAATTGTCTACTTACGCATATAATAACCATTTTTGGAACATTTTTAATAATCGAGATGAATATAGAAATGTTTTACACTTAACATTTTTTAAATCTGTTAGGAAGTTTGGCCATTTGGTTATGTGCTGTTTATCAATATGTGAGTAGACATAATAAAATGTCTAAAATATACAGGTCTAATTTTTATTAATAGAAGAAAGAGAAATACTAAATTTTCATGTACTATCAAGCTGATGCAATTTCAAATATTGTAGAACAAAGTTTTTCAATCACATCCACTTACTTATGTGTTTTTTACTTCTTTTAACCAATTTGTCAAAATCTGACTTTTTGGAAACATTCAAGAAAGAGGCCTTTCCTATAGCATTGTGGTATTATGTTAATGCATTAATAGTATAGAAGATTTACTCATTGTCTGGGATATACTGAAAGCATGTGTTTAAATTCTTAAGTTTAAAACTGAAAACTTAAGAATTTGGAGACCATATTTCTGTAACAGAGAAATTACTTTAATTGTACCAATTCAACTCTCAAGCTCAATAGCAACTGGGATAAATAGAAACAAACATTGACTGAACTTGGGGGATAAGAATACCATGGTTGAGGGTAAGCAACTTGTTGAAAGCTATCACCATTTGAATTGGGAAGAAAAGTGTATGTTTTGTTTATTTTCTCATCATAGGCAAATACAAGAAAATTAGGTAAGAATTTTATTATTATTATTATTATTAAGCTCATTTATTATAGTTCAATTACAGCAATTTTAACTTTGTTCTAAAAATATTTCTTTCAGTAAATTAAAAAGAAAGGAGACATAATGGTTATCATATTGCCAGACTTAACCTGAATAAGAGAACACTCCATTTCAAGTGCATTAATTGATTACATACCTCCATAATGCTGCATAGACAACTGCGAGGGTGATCAAGGCCAAGCAAGAAAGGCCACTGCCTACTATTAGGGTAACTGAAGGTGTACCAGAGGATTCCATGATCTGTAAATTAAGCAAAAGAAACACAAAAAGAAGAGATTTTTTTTTTATAAATGAAAATAACTTCTAAACTCAGCAAAAACTATACTAATACTCAAAAACAGCCAATAGAATTGTTACAGTTACCAGATAATTACCCAGTAATCACTTTGTTCATATATTCTCAACCTCTAAAATAACTAATTCTAGCTCCCCCCTCTCTCCCACTGTGAAGTAATAAAGGCCTTAGAGTTTTAAATGCTTGATTATGGCATATTACCCACTATGGCTTTCTACAATAAATAGCTAAAACTAAAACTTGGTGAATATTCACATCTTAAATTTTCTCTAGCTGAAATTTGAAGCAGCATTCAGTTTTCTTCAACAACTACAGTTATTTTATAGTATGCTTTTTGATAAAATTTACTTTGATCTTCCCATTTATAACTCATTGTTACCCCAACCTGGTACCTAGATACTGGAAAATTTTCAAACTTTCTGACTTTTAACAACTTTGTTCTAAGTCAAGTATTCTCTTATTTAATTTCACTTGCCTGGCCTCTAAGGATATAGAAGAAAATCAGATTTCAAATGCAACAACTTACAACATATTTTGTGGGGGTTTTTTTCTATTAACAAAATATGCAGAGATAATTTTCACAATACCAGTATCAGTCCCTAAATATATGACCTTGACAAATAAGTCTTATATATTTTAAAACACATATAAAGATTATAAGCAGTCACTGACTTGAGAGGTTTCTTTCCTTAGACACTAATATGATACTAACTAATAAAATCTGTTGTTTTTCTTATTTTTAATATTGTTTGATGTTTGAAGAAAAACACTATAAGATCAAGCGTGTTCCAAACCTTAAGTATGCACATTAAATTATATTATGTATTTTTGTCATCAAAATAAGTAAGAAGAGTGAGGCATATTTAGGCCAAATTTAGACAAAAAGTCACATTCATCTTAATAATTATTTTTCAGTATTTCAATATTTTGGAAATAATTTTTCAAAATACATTTGATGAGGATATTATTTTTCTTTTAGACAGTTTATGCAGCTGTCTATTTAAGAAACAAGTTTTTTTTTTTTTTTTTTTACAAGCCTACACTTTTAAGGAATGATTTTACAGTTTCAGGCAGTCCGTGCTTTCATGAAAACTTCATTTTTTTTGTTTTTTTTTTTTTTAAATAAATATCCAAGGACACCCCCAGAAAACCTGTACTGAAAATATCCAATGCAGATATGCAATATGTTTGGCTTATAGTGTCTGGGGTCTTCATTCTACCACCAACAGTATTCTCACAAATTCCCCAGACCAGCTTTGCAGTTCTAAAATAAAGGTTAAGTTGGCAATTATTTTTATTTGAAAGTTTGCAGCATATTAGTAATATCATGGAGTACATCCTCAAAACTATACTGCAGAAATTTTAAGTTAGAAGACATAAAATTGAGTAGAATTTAGTTACAGCATACCAACTAGAATTCATTTTACCAAGCTACTGTAGCTAAGGAGGAGATGAACCCAATTTTGCCACCCTGCAACATTTTCCATTTCCCCTTTTAAAATGCAGTTCCCTGGAGAAACACTCTCCACAATGTCCCTGCCTTTGCATTAAAGCCTTGTTTTCCCTTTGTTACTTACTATTTCTCTAGGTTGCTGAGCCAAAATGGCGAAGGTAGAGAGACGATCACATAAGCATTTCGTATGGGATGCATCGGTAAGCACAGTTTTACATCCCTGGGTGGACCACGTTCCCAAAGATTCGTTCCTGCAAAGGGGGGGTGGGGGGGAGATCGGGATAAATACGCCTGACGGCCAAATCCGTAAAGAAGAAAATGCAGTTTAATTGAGAGAATCGTCTACTGTAATTCCCGTTCAGGAAAAAAAAAAATCTACTTGTTGTTGAACAGAACGTAATTTAGATGCATCTCCAGTAATGCAAAGCAAGTGTTTGGAAAAAGCAAGCAGGCGGGTGCAGCGTGCAAAGAGCTGTCCAGCGCCGGAGGTGCTGAAACCGGGACTAGCTCTGTCCAGCCCTCTGTGAGGAACAGCGGCGGCGGTGGCAGCACGAGCAGCCGCCAGAGCGTTGGCAGCCACTTCCTATGCTCATCGGATCGTTTCAAACACTCAGAGTGTAAAGAGGCTTTTCAGATTTTCATACCAGCTCTGATTCTCGTCCTGTATTTTTGGATCGTGAATGCTGGCTTTTAAAATGCGGATTTCTCTGAAAAGCCTGCCTAAAAGGTTATATAGCTTGGGTTGGGTGACAGGATCTTTTCCGCTGCTGGTTAGGGATTTTTCCTCCCTTTAGAATTAGCTGCTGTGAAAATTTCACCCTGGAAACGGGAAGCAGCAGCAGCGGCATCAGCTGGTTACGACTCTCATTGCCTTTGCCCGGTATCCAGGGGAGGGGTAGGTTTCAGACATAAGCTTCCCACTCCACACTTCATTCAGCCCAACACGCCTCTGAAGCCCTTGACATTTTTTCCCCTGACCTGCGTCTCTGCCCTGGAGTAGAAACATTAAGCTAACACCAAGTCTGCTAGGACATTTGAGGAATCACCCTACCCCAAAGTCCGGCAGGAAGGGGGAAAGAGGGCCTGCTTCAATTTTCTCTTTGGTATAGCCATTCAAAATTCTAAAGCATATGGTTTATTTCCCACCCCAGCAGAACAATAAAAATGGTATCAACCTACACTTTCTTAGTAGGTGGGGCAAGATGGGGGAGAACCCTTCCACCCTCAGCTGAACTACTCTACAGGAAGAGGAAGGAAAAAAAAAAAAAGCTAGTAAGTTCGACCAATCAACTTTATTAGCATTACACGTGTTATATGCTGAATGCACCAATTTTCACCTCTCCTCCCCCTGGTATGGAAACTCTCCAACTAGCAAAACCTGTGTATGTGTTTTAATTTCAAACCACATTATTATCTGTGTTAAAAATTACTCTAAAATTTGAAGGAAATAACACATAATTTTGAATGTGGTACTTTTGATTTCACCTACTCCATCCTTGAATGCCTAAAGCTATTGGGTTAAATATGCATGCAGTCTATTTCTGAGAGATTTCAATGAGAGAGGCTTCTCTGTGACAGTTGGACTTCCAAGTTGAGCTACAGAATATAATTCACACTATCCTTTTTGGTATCTAGAAGCAATGTTTTCAATATATGTGATTTTGTATCATTAATATTCATGACTCAAAATACTCTTAATTACAAATTCTTTTAAGAAGGAATACACTGTATTTTAGGAGGGCCACATAAAAAAAATTAAGCTCACCCAAATACTTTTAAGTATTATCAATTCAAAATTAGGAGGTCTCTTTTCTTTCTCATGATGTCATGCAGCCATGTCAAATTTAAAAATATGTATCAGTTATACCTTCAACCAACTGCAACAGTATTAAATTCCAATTCTACCTAACCATAGCAGCCCTTCAATTTATTTCATTAGCTGTCTGTCTCTTATCTTCTTGAGACAAACAGTTAAGGCCAAATGAAAAACATTTAGCTTAGCTGATTAAAGTTTAAGGAAAAAAGATATAGTTAAGAGAACCTGACATGTTTTAAAACATAACATCTGCATTATTCATCCTGGATGGCAGCTTTACTTTAATGCAGTATCTGTGCTTTCAAGATGGAGTCTAGTACTTAAACTTTTCACATTATGTAGCTATGATCAATAAACCAATTTAAAGTCTTAATAAGGAATAAAAACTTTACTGTAAATAAGACCTCATATGAGACAAAATTATGTATTTATATCCAGGTAATTAAGAAAATGTTAGCATCACTAAACATTGGCTATCAGATATTAAGTCTATGTTCAATATAATGATGCTGGACTCTGAAGATCATGTAAATTTGACATGACATCTTTAGAAAAGTAGGTCAATTTACTTTACTTTGTTTGTACAATGATTGCATTGCTGACCTGACCCAGCCTTAGGCAAAATTGGAAAGTGATTCCAGTTTTCCCAAGCAAGAAATGCTTCAAATCTCACTGGGCCCCTTTCCATGTGTACCTTTTTGAGGCTACATAGTCTATGTCCCTACCTCTCTTTGGAATTATTATTGCTTTGTTGACTTTATCTGATTAAATTAATAAATAATATGAGTGAGTATAGTGTGATGTACTCTTCTCAGTTTAAAACAAGGTATAAAACAAAATAACGTATCTGATGGGAGAACATCAGAATTTGGAGCAGACGAATAGTAGAGAAGATCTTGAAAGGTAAGAGGGTAACTTCTACATTTGGTCAATCCCAAGAGCTAAGCAGTAAACATAATACCATTCTCAAGCTATATTTTATATTGTTTCATAAAACCTCTTAACATTTTAAAACCATATAAACTCTTATAATTATTCTCTAAATCACCATACATGTCACTATTATTACAAGACCTATAGTATGTGTCATCTGTATTTTCAAACACTTCATAGCTTATTGCTACTGTACAAAATTCTTTGAAAGCATGGTACATGTGTCTGATTGATTTCAGGGAGATCTTGTAAAGCAAACTAATATTTGATAGAGCTAATGTGAAGCAAAATAACTTCCCCAGTCTGCAAAGAACAAGGTTTTCAAAAATGTGGACTATTGCAGCAGTCATATTATTCTTCTAATGTCACAGGTTTTTTGCATGCTATGATTAATGGTATCTGTGAATTATTTTTAGTTATTAAGTCTAGGTTGTCATCAATAAGGCAAACAAATACAACGAAATATATAGGAACATTAAAGATATAATAAGAATAACAGACTGACAATGTCAGAAGAGAACACAGACTGATGATACAGATATACATATTATACCGAAAAATCACATATTTCTTTTTCACAATATCATTTCTGGGCATTAAAATTTATTTCAAATAGTTTTCAAAAATAACTAGGCCTGCAGAAATTCCATACAGCCAGCACATTATTTGTTGGTTACACCTACATTCACCCATGTTAGCTGTTAGCTGTCATCTGTACTTCTTCTCCTTCTTCCTATTATTAGGTTGGCTAAAAGAAGAAGAGTCTGCCTATCCCAAGTATTCAAAAGTACATACCCACAGGCACAGAATTTTGTGAAAATGTGAGACACAAAATCTATTACTTTCTAGCTTGATATTTATTTGAGGCTTTTCTCCAATTTCCTAACAGTCTATCTGATTTCTTTCTGGATCTGAGTATATCATTGGGTTCCTGATTTCATGGGAGTTTTAAATAATATAGCATGTGGCTATATTCTCTAGTATTTAAGATTACAGAAAAAAATTATCTGTTCTCTTTGACAAAAAGTTGTTTAGTAAAATCTGATAGCTAAAGCTTACAGTGACACATTTTAAAACTGTTCCAAGAAATCAAACTTTTATCTTTCGAAATACCAATACAACCAGACATTTCACTTGAATCATTCTTTTATAAAATTGTCTATTCTGTTTCATAATAAATCAATGTGTAAAGTATTTATTATGAATAAGTTATACACCTTAGGAGGTTTATTATCTTAGAATATTAATGGCCCATTTATTCAAAATCAAAATAGCTACAACGACAATTCAAAAAATTTACACACAATTTCTGAATACACTATTCTTACCATATATGTATACTGAAATAAAGTGATAATAGTTACTAATTTCTAAAAACTAGGTGAATCTATACTATTTTTAATGTGTAGATTACACCCAAGTAAATGATATCTATATGGCTCTTGGTGTAAATTATTCCCATAGTACAGAAAATTTTGGAGTACAAAGGAGCAAATGTTCTCAATTTTGAGCTGAAACAGTATTTGAGGGTAATTTCTACTTTTTAGGACATTGCAAATATTGCAAATATTGTTATCTCTAGCAACTGTTACTATGTCAAAACACAGTGAATAAAAAATTAAAAAGTTTTGCTAGAAGTAACCTTAGTGAGCATCTAGCCCATTGGTTTTCTACACTTGATTACATTAAAGTTACCTGGAGACCTTTAAAAATTAAGCCCTGGGGGGTGGGTCGTGGGCATTATTACTTTCCTAATGCTCCCCAGATGATTCTGTATGCAGCCAGGGTTGAGAATCACTGATCTATCCCAACCATTTAATTTTATAGATAAGAAAAGTGAAGTACGGTGAATTTAGGAGACATGTTTTAAGTCAGAGTGAGAAAGCAAAGTTGGGCTTCTCACTTCCATACTAGAAGTTTTCAATGCTAAGGTTTTTTTTTTTTTTTTTTTTTAGCACTTCAGTACTTTACCGTGTATTCAGAATTCTCATAAACATTATTAGCTCTAATCATACAACACGGCTTCCTTGCTAACATTAGCCAAACTTCTGAGCAGTTCATATTATGTATTGAGAAGAGGGAGGGTAAGAAGATAGACATACAGAGAAATTTTTAATTTCTCTATTAGCTTGATTCTAGGGGAGAAAAATAGATAATCTTCAACCTTTTTTATAAGACTCCTTGAGAGTCACTTAAGTTCTCAAATTCTTTCAAATATTCCTGAATCAAGATAAAATCCAATTCAACTCAATCATCTCTCATCAAAGGAAGGTCTCAAAAGTGTTCTGTAAGTCTTTAGTGTTTCCCTCAACTCCTTTCTCTCATCATAAAACAAAATATTAACACAAAAAAAATTGATCTGGGTTGAAATTATTTCAAATAGGGCTCTAATGTTGAAGTGGCTGTACTCCTGTTACACTATCCTTCGTTGCTTCATTCATTCATTCAACACTTACTAAGTTTATACCACGTATAAAACAAGTACTAATATTAGTGGTTTCAAAGCCTAGAAACACGAGGGAAAACACCACCCTTGAGAACCACAGTACAGTGGGCAAGACTGATCAGAAAATGAGTGTTATGGAATAATGTGATTGGTGCTGACAACAGAGGTATATACCACGTACTACGGAAGCAGAAAGGAGTATTGGCAGACTTCACTGAGATGATGTACGGAAGCCAACTCCTAAAAAGTGGTAGGACTGTATCAGGCAAAGTAAAAATAAGTACAGAGGCACACGGCAAGAGCGACTCCAGTGGACATGTGATACCCTGGAAAGCACAGAGACAGCCCCTCTCCCCCAAATGGAAGACCAAAAGCCCTTCTAAAGGCTATCTCATCCTGGAGCGAGAAGGGTATTTTTGTAACTCATCTACCCAGAAGGAATGCCCTTTTATTTCCCATGAAGTCAGTTTATGTACTAGCGATAGCTCTGAATGTGGGTGATGATCAGAAAATGCAGTTAATCTCATGAGTCCTACAGACCCACTGCAGAGTTTAAAGCCAAGGAATGGTATAATCAGGCATTTACTTTTTATTTAAATTTAAGGTATTTTTCACAGTAATATGAAAGATGAGATTACATAAACAAAAGCTAAATGAGCAGACCAAAGTTCAAAGAATGTTATGGTAGTCCAACTGAGAAATCATGAAAGCCAGTTCTAAAGTGGGGTAGCAAGGATAGAGACTAGGAATTGGCCACTTCAAGGAGTCTCTTTATATTGCCTGGAGAACAGTTCTGCTGCTTGAGGATGAATGAACAAAGGTAATCAGAGTAGGCCTGGCATGGGGCGCCTGGGTGGCTCAGTCGGTTAAACATCTGCCTTTGGCTCAGGTCATGATCCCAGGACTCTGGGATCAAGTCCCAAGTCAGGCTCCCTGCTTAGCCTTCTCCCTCTCCCTCTGCCCCTCACTCTGCTCCT